TTGTAGCAGATGCCTTTGGGGCAGATTAACCTTTGCTATCCTGCTGTGGCCCTGTTGAAAATAGCTTCTTTGAAGCTGCTATAAGTATTGCAACGAAATTACTCCATTGAAATCAATGGGGGATTTCTTCCGAATGTAAGCAGCAGCTTCAGAAGAGTGGCTTTCACCAAGAGTTAAATTTCCTTTCCCCAAATTCTTCAATCCAATAATTATCACCCCCAGCAACACACACACACACACACACTGCATAGCTGAGCCAACATTGCTTTGGAAAGCATTGTAATAAGCAAATATCCAACAGGTGCAGTTGCTGAAGGAAAGCCTTCCTGCTCTGCTCCCCACAATTTTCCTTCCTTTTTGTGTATTTGGGGAGGTGGGGAATACAAACAAAAAAACATAACGTTAGTATGATCACCCAATGTAAGAACTAAAGACCAATGCTATATGTTGAAAAAGGAAGCTCTTTCATTTCAGAAGAAAAGGTTGTCTGTACTTCCTTTCAGTCATAGGTTTGCTGGTGTTAAGTGTGTGTGTGTGGGGGAACCACCTGCCTCAGAGTACAAAGAGAGCCTCTGGGTAAAAAGGCATACTTCTGGTGCTATTTACAAAATACTTCATTATTATCTATTATCTGCTCTGCTAAAAATAAAGCACAGCTTAGAGAAGTGAACTTTCACAGAAATCTGGAGTTGAGCATTGCAAGAGTCCAGAATAGCAGCTTCTAGTACGAAGCTATCCATGGTGTGTGAAATTGGGATTCTATCCTCTCTCTTTTTGGGTGGTTTTAGGCTTTGAATGCAATGGTCTCCAAGGAGGAGTGATGTGGATGAGGGATGTAAGCATGCCACTGATCTGACCTGTGCAGGCTCCAAGCATAGGATTGGGATGAGTACATTTGTTAGGAGCCAAATGGCTTGGCCTGAAGGTCAAATGGAGTTATTATTTATATACTAGTGCTCCAGCCAATACCTTTAGTTACTAGCTTTCCCCCCTGAAGCTTTCCTCTGTATATTCAATCAATACATGGAGGGCAGGAGGATCAAACTGGTCGGCCCAGCCCATATCATCCATCCACTTCCTTCAAAAGTTACTGGAGCAGATGCATCACTCAAGTACAGTGGCGTGCCATGGGTTGCCAGCACCCAGGAGAGAAATGGATGGAGTACGTATGTGCATTCAACTGCGTAACGGTGTCCACATCACCCAGGAGATCACAGCTGCAAAAATAAGAAAAGAAGAGTCATTCCGTTGTCTGGAGAGGTCACTTCCTGGGTCGCATGGAGGAGCCCAGTGATGGAACAGCAAGCCCAGTGATGGAAGCACACAGCTTTATTGAGGCAGCAGTGGGTGTTGGAATTTTGCATCCCTAACAATTTTGCACCCGGGGCAAATGACCCGTGCTATGCCACACATGCTATGCCACTGCTCTAGTACATATATATGACTAGAACTCCCAATGGAGTGGAAATGTGGGAAGATGCGGGACAGACAGAGGAAAGTACTTTTTTCATGCAGCATGGAATTAAATGATGCCGCTTTCTTCCAGAGGAGGCAGGGATGGCCACCAACTTGGATGGCTTTAAAAGAGAATTAGACAAAATCATGAAGCAAAAATCTACCGATGGCTACTAACCACAAGGGCTACGCTCTGCCTCCATGGGTGGAATTCTGGAATCTTCAGGAGGGGAGAGTGTTCTTTTGCTCAAATCTTGCTTGTTTGTTTCCCTCAGACATCTGCTTGACCACTGTAAGAACAGAATGCTGGACGAGATGAGCCAATCTTCTTCAAGCATTTTGCACAAATGCTTCACACTCTAGGCCTTGTGAATGAACTAGAAACAGACTCGTCTTCCAAGCCTACCAACTGCTATTGATTTCAAGCCTGCTTTTCCAAAGGCGTGAGTAGCCAGCCTTGCTTTTTTATATATATTGTTGTCAACAAAGCTGAAATTCCCCTTCAAACAATTCCGCCAGAAAGAGGAAAGTTGTGGCTTCAGGCTGTCACTGCTCAAAGGAAGCTTCAAAGTTTTGTCTGCTACAACTGCTTTAGCTTTCAGAAGTTCAAAGGTAAGGAACATGTTTGAAATAATTTGCCTTCTTTGGGTTTCTTTTCATGTTGTTAAGGAGAAAAAACACCACCCTAAATAGTCCTTTTAAACTGTTGCAGTGATTTATGTAAGGTAATAACAATGCCATGATGTTTGATAACGTTTATAAAAACCCACACGGAGGCCAGGTTAAGTAAGGTTAGAATGCTATGCGGACTATTACAGTGGTACCTCGGGTTACAGACGCTTCAGGTTACAGACGCTTCAGGTTACAGACTCTGCTAACCCAGAAATAGTACCTCGGGTTAAGAACTTTGCTTCAGGATGAGAACAGAAATCATACTCTGGTGGCACCGGGAGGCCCCATTAGCTAAAGTGGTACCTCAGGTTAAGAACAGTTTCAGGTTAAGAACGGTTAAGTTCTTAACCCGAGGTACCACTGTACTTTGCTTGGAAGACTGAAATGAGCTGCCTTTTGTGTGATGGTTGATCTCAAAGGCAAAACTAACAGAACACATCTAAGTGAACCTCGAAGACAATGCCTCTTTGCAATACTTTCTTGTTAAAGAATGGATTGGAGTTATTAGCAGTTACTTACAAAAAGCAGGGCTGGCATCAGGAATTGATTGATTGATTAACACTACTGAGTATTTCTAAGCATTGTATTCCAGTTAACAGGAACTAAAGCACTTCTTTCAGCCTGACACTTTACTACAGGGGTGCGGAAACGTTCTCTCTCTCTCTCTCTCTCTCTCTCTCTCTCTTTGTCAAGGGCCACATTCCATCACAGATAATTTGTCAGAGGTTTTTAACTATGATGTAACACCACCAAGCATTAAGCCCTCGTAGACTGCAATTAAACAAGTATACAGTTTTGTTCCAGAAGTACTTCTTCATACCTTGAACCTCTGAGGCTTCACAAACCTTGCTGCTGTTAAACTTAAACACTACTACAAACAGTTAATTATAGACCGTTGCTGTGTGAATACAGGCAGAGGGTGTCCATCCTGCTAGGATGTCCACTATTGGGCTTTATCTGTGGCCAGCAAGCAAGATACAAAAAAAAAGGCCCTTCCAGGTAGCCACTGGCGGAGGAAGAGGAGTGCGGGGGGAGTGCACTGCCCCCAGCAGCGCAATCTTGGTGGGGTGCCATCGCGGCTGCCCTCCTGCCTGCGATGGGCACCACGCCCCTGCAGATGGTGTGTCCCGCCCCCAGGAAGCATGCCACACCCCTGCTGGCAGCACGCCCCACCCCCAGGATGTGCACCAGCCCCGCCCCCACCTGCTCTCCACTCCCTGGTGCCAGAGCATGAAGCTCCGCCACTGCAGGTAGCCAATGATATTGTGGAGATAGAGCGTGCTGCTAATAATGCCAGTGTCATAGGTTCGATCCCCATACGGGACAGCTGGATTCCCCAGTGGAGGTTTATTCCCATTCGGACTAGTAGGGAAGAAGGCAGAGAGGCAATTGTAAGTGGAGCCAGAGCCAATGGCAGGCAGATTCAAATCATTTTAGTCTCCTCCCTGTTCTACAGAGATTAAAGATGAGGAAGTTGCTGGCCTGCCCCATGCCCTGGACTGCTTGTGAGTCAGAAGGCAGGCAGATGGGGGCTGACTGAAGGCAGATTGAGGTAGTGCCCCATTCACTGCAGCGGATCAACATCCACTGTAACTCCCATCATTCCTTCAGGCAAGTGAGTATGGGTTTGCAGCCTAAGTGACTAAGGCTAGGAGGAGGAGGAGGAGGAGGAGGAGGAAGAAGAAGAAGAAGAAGAAGAAGAAGAGGAGGAGGAGGAGGAGGAGGAGGAGGAGGCGGCTTTATCCCGCTTTATCACTACCTGAAGGAGTCTCAAAGCAGCTAACATTCTCCTTTCCCTTCCTCCCCCACAACAAACACTCTGTGAGTGAGTGGGACTGAGAGACTTCAGAGAAGTGTGACTAGCCCAAGGTCACCCAGCAACTGCATGTGGAGGAGCGGAGACGCAAACCCGGTTCACCAGATTACGAGTCTACCGCTCTTAACCACTACACAACACTGGCTCATTGAAATCAACTGGCCATGCTGACAGGGGCTGATGGGAGTTGTGGTCCACCCCTGCTCTAGATTAACTTCATAAATGATGTAGTTGAAGTTATGAAAACATATGGAGTATAAGAAATGCTACTATTACCTGCTCCATTTTGTTTCTGAGTTCCTCTTGCAGCACCAATGGGAACTCCCAGTCAGGGCACCTCCGCTAGTGAAAAACAGTGCAATCCTGTGCATGTCTACTCATAGGTAAGCCATTGAGCTCAATGAGACTTATTAAGTGAGTATAGGCTTGCAGGCACGTTTTCTATGCCTGGGAGTTCGCCTCGCTGAGTTGACACATACGTGATTGTTCTGTAAGACTGTGACTTGTGCAGAGTGACTATGGATTCAGGAGTCAAAGTATTGCTCTGGGAGAGGTTTCACAGTTGTGCCTGTTTTGCTGAATCCCAGGTTGCTGCACTCTTTGCCACTGCTTTTGAAATCCAGGGGAAATAAATCTTTTGCCAATTGAAAAATGATAAAATCAGTAGGAGAAATTAGGAAAGACTTCTAAGCATGCATTATTTAAGAGCATTACCTGTGCCAGGAACTCAGGTATTTGGCATGTTCAGTTTGTGACCTCATTACCAGAATTATTTATTCTGTTTGACGACACTCTTTGGCCACAAATGAATACATAGATCTGTTTTCACCTGATATAATTCATTTTAAAGAAGTTTCAGGTGTAAAATTGTAGAACACTAACAGTACATTTCTGCACATGCCCACTCAGAAGTTAGTGCCACTGAACTGAATGGGATATTTCTCTCAGGGAAATGTGTTTATTTATTTTTGACAACCCCATAGAATCATACAATTGTAGAGTTGTAAGGAACCATGAGGGCCTTCTAGTCCAACCCCCTGGCATTCCAAGAATCTTTTACCCAACGTAAGGTTCAAACCTACGACCCTGAGATTAAGAATCTCACACTCTACCAACTGAGCTATGGGCTATAATTCATGCATCTTATTCTCATGGGGGAATCTTTTCTGTTACTTTATAGCAGGGGCATCTGTGGTCATCCAGATGTTGCTGACTACAGCTCCCATTATCTCTGACCGCTATCCCTACTGGCTGGGATTGATGGGTGTTGGAGTTCAGCAACATCTGGGAAGACACAGGTTCCTTATCCCTGGCTTATAGAAAGGTTCATGAATCAACAACAATACAGTTCATTCCCTTAGTGCCAAACAGGCATTACATCACATGCAGTTTCAATTAGCTGCCTCTTCTGAAGCTCTTAAGGTTAAGATGTTTCGCCTAGATTGCTATCATCTCATTGTGTCATGGGATCGGAGAAGGTCAAAGAGGAGGTCACCGTGCACAATCCTTTGCTGCAAGTCTCCCTCCCCTCCTCCCACAGTCCTTCCCTGCAGAACAGCTTACACAATTACAGTCACAAGCAGAGAGCAGGAGAGCGAAGAAAGTGAACTGCAGTAAGTTTTCTGCAGAACATAGAACTCCATGTGGCTCAAGCAAGTGAGTCATGCCATGAACTAAAGGGAAGAGAAAGTGCCAGGGTCAGCTGGACTTAAAAGAGGGATTCTTTCCTAACCTCCATATGACAATCAAACTCGGAGCATAAGCAAAAATCCACCCACAGAGGGCTAGTCCCCTGCCTAGAAAACACAGGTCCAAGCAGTTTACCCCTTGCTTGCTCCTTTCCCAGTGAAAAAACACTCTTTAGCTCTGAATCAGAACGAATGGCAATCTGTGAAAAACCCTTTTGCCATTTCCTCCTACTGAGTGCTAAAGAGCGGTTTTCCCTGGGAGAAAGCAGCAAGACAAGAGGAAGTGTGAACAAGCCCAGGGTTCTCTTAAGGGGAATTTTATTGGGGCAGAAATTCACCAGCAGGTCCATGGAAGTTCAAAACAGCCCCACCAGCGCCCTTGGAAATTACCAGAACTCTTCCAACCATTATCTGAAAAGGAAGACCTGCAGCTTAGCATGCAAAAAAGTCTTGAGTTCAATTTCTGGCATTTTGAAGCAGCTCTGGGGGGAAACCCCTGCCTGAAACCCAAGACACCCGCTGCCTATTTGTTAGAGCAGAGCAACACTGAGCTGGATGTTAGGCCCATTGCCTGACTGGCATGGCATCTGTTCCTAAAGAGCCAGGAAAGACTAACAGTTAACAGATCTCAGAGAAGCCCTAGAGAGAAACATGTTTTGCAATCCAGAGTGACCTGCATGTTATGTTGAGGGGGAAAAGAGAGCTGCACTGGGGAGTGTGGAGAGACGGAGAAACCATTTATTAAAATTCCTCCACCATTTGAAGGGAGGATGCGGGGATTTCCCTGCTTTTAATGGCATCCATCTATCTCTGGAAACAGTTCAATCCTCCTTGTCAGATAGAACTTATGCCCAAGGCTTAAAAGAGAGTTTTCTTCTATTCCTCCACCCCTATTCTTACCCCCTTTCTCTCCTGAATTACATTACGCCAGAGGTTCATTTGTTGTTGTAAAATCCACACAGAAGGCGAATACCACCCAGCTGCTGTGAGATTTCTATCCTCCTCAATCTGTTGTCCTTCCCAGCAGCAGATGGTGGGGGTGGAGAAGGCATTATTGCACATCCTTCCCCAGCTCCAGCAAGCAGAGCTGATGGGATTTGTAGCCCCAAACATCCAAAGGGCACCAGGCTGGGGAAGTCTGCTTTATTTGTTACAGAAGAGCTTCTGAATTCCCTTGTTGATTTTCAACAAGGTCTCTCTAGCTCAGCATTTTTTCTGATGCCCCAGGAGCAAGTCATGGGTGATGAAGATACACAGGTAGAGCTTTGTGTTTGTCCTTAGGGTCTGCTAATTGGAGGCATGCCACCTCTGAATGTGGAAGTTTGCTAAATTTCTGTTTATGAATGGTATGGATAAAGTGGATAGAGGGGGGGAATTCACAGCAGAAAGGGACATTCACTTAGTTGACTTATGGAATCTTCTCCCCCAAAGGGCAGTAATGTACACCATCTCAGATGAGGAACAGAGAAATTCATAGAGGACAATGGCTGCTCACCACAATGGCTACATTCTCCCGCCACTGCTGCAATGCTTCTGAATACAATTCGCTGGAAACCACAGGAGCGGAAAGTGCTCTTGGGCTCAGGTCCTGCATTCATGCTTCCCACAGGCATCCAATTGGCCACTGTGAGAACAGGATGCTGGCCTAGATGGGCCATTGGCCTGATCCAGCAGACTATAATTAAGCTCTTAAGTCCAGTTTTGAGTAGCATTGCCAGGGCCGTATTTAGCATATGCGACGCCAGGGTGCAAAGATGCGCCCAGCACCCCCTTTTTTAGAGGGGGCAAATGCAAAGTTGTTGAGTTTTTTTTGTAGGAGGGGAAAGCCAAAGTTGTTGACTTCTTTGGGGGGGCGCTCACCTGTAGCAAGGATATAGTGGGAAAAACTGCTTTTCTTTGATGGGACGCGGGTGGCGCTGTGGGTTAAAAAACCACAGAGCCTAGGACTTGCTGATCAGAAGGTTGTGGTTCGAATCCCCGCAACAGGGTGAGCTCCCGTTGCTCGGTCCCTGCTCCTGCCATCCTAGCAGTTCGAAAGCACGTCAAAGTGCAAGTAGATAAATAGGTACTGCTCCGGCGGGAAGGTAAATGGTGTTTCCGTACACTGCTCTGGTTCGCCAGAAGCGGCTTAGTCCTGCTGGCCACATGACCTGGAAGCTGTACGCTGGGTCCCTCGGCCAATAAAGTGAGATGAGCGCCGCAACCCCAGAGTTGGTCACGACTGGACCTAATGGTCAGGGGTCCCTTTACCTTTACCTTACAGAGTAACAGAGTGACGGGGGGGAGGACTTTTGCTCCATTGCTTTTCACTGCCACCGAGAGGGACTAGTATGCAGTAGGCAAACATTTGGCACCCCCCAGAATTTGGAGCCCGGGTGCACCGCACCCCTTGCACCCCCAGGTAAAGACGGCCCTGAGCATTGCTAATAGCCACTGATGGACTTTGCAGAATCTGCCATGAATTTATCAAGTTCATCACCACATCCTTGTGCAGATGGGTTGGCTCTGCCATTAGGCAAGGTGAGGTGGCCACCTCTGGCATGATCTGGGGGATCATGAAAGGGAAGCAAATGCTTAGTTATTAAATTCATTCTTGTTCCATTTTATACTGCTGTGGGAAGGGTAGAGAGGTACTTATGGGGTTTTCTGTTCCAGATGCCAGCATAATTTGGCTGTCCTTGGGCACTATGGATTTTGAATTGGGGGGAGCAAAATGTCTTAGGCTGGTCCTGTTGGCTGGGCCACAGGGAATCCCAAAGTGCTTTAACATCACAATTAATCCTTCTGTTTAAACCAAGGCATGCCTATAAATGGGAAAATATGTGTGGTCTTACTGACAAACTGTAGATTAAAGATTTGTTAGCTATATGATGCCGCCGCTTTCCTCCTTTGATTACTTTTGGATTTTGTTAACTGAAGTCCTATTGGAAAGATCTGAAGTGTGCCCAGATCTCCATTTTGCTTTTCTGCAAACAAAGGCACCTGGCTTGTGCCACCCAGCACTTTAGGGGATGTTTGTGCCAGTTCCCCTTGAAAATAGTAGCAACATGTTCCTGCAGCAGCATGTTCCTGCACTGTCAAAGTACTGTTCGGGAAATTCCCAATGCATGTTTTCCCTAGCCTGAATGGATTCCTTCCTTCTATAGCTTTTGGTTGGTAAGGAATGTGAGGCGATTGTTTTCAAAAGGAAACACCCAATCAATAAAATTGTATAATGCATGTAGGGGGTCTGTGGAACCTCTATACATGTGTGCATTTACTATGTATCCTTCACGTACACACTTTTACCCTTGTGTCCTTGCAATTAGCCAAGCAGGCTTTGCATAACACCACATTGTGGTACACGCAGTGCTTTTTTTCCTGGGGGGGAAGCAAAGGGACGCATGCCCCTAAACATTTTGTGAATCTTTGTACTTTTGTCCAATTACTGTATTTATTCCCCCCTGATTTGAACTATAAAATAGTGTTTTCTTGAGTAAAATGAGAGTACCCCTAAACATTTTTTTTTAGGAAAAAAAGCACCGGGTACATGCCACCACTTTCCAATAGGGATGAAGGAAACACTCATTCAATTTTCATTTTAACACATTCATACCTAATCTGCAGACCATAATATAAAACGGAATTTCTTCAAAACCATCAGTTTAAAAGAACAACATCCCAGCCAAGGAAGAAGTCACTCTTGCATAGGCCACCTGAAATAACTAGGCCTTCCAAGTTTGAATGTGGTGGTGTTGTACTGGGGCTTCTTTTATAAATGAATTCAAGAACCATAGTCTGAATTGTGGACCTGTGAAGCCACTTTTTCCTTTTCCTTTTCTTTTTTAAAAGTGGCTATGACTAAGCATACATTTTATGTTCTTATGAGAATACAGAGCTTGGTTCAAAGAGGCCTCTGCTAGAAAGAAGACAGGTGCACAGACACTGTACTTATTCCCCTCTGAAAAGCCCACAAGGTGGACCAAAAATGACCACGGAGACAGAAATGCCCAGTTGGCTTTATTCAAGCTACAGAAGTTTCTAGTATCTCATAGAAACAGATCTCAACCATATAAGGTGCATGTTGACAGCGCTGGGAAACTGGCCACTTAAACATACAAGATTCATTGGAGAATCATGGCCTATTGGGGTGTTAAGTTGGTCCTGTGAAGGGAAAAAACACTGGATGTGGGGACTGCAATAGGACATGGGAAAACTGCTGGATGAGCCTCAGAATGTAGAAAGTACAAAATGAAAAACTATCTTGAACTATGCTACAATAACAACGGTGCCATTTATGAAATAAATAGGTCTACATTTTCTGAAACAAGAAGCCCCAAATGCATTTGAGTTGTTTTCCCCACTGACCGTTTTTATACTTTTTGTGCACTATTAATAAAGCCCTTAATCACAAAATGTACTTAATCTTCTGTGACAACCTCCATAGCACAGACTCAATGG